GTATGAGCAGGAAGGCAGCAAATAACAATGTTATGCTCTTCTGCTAATGTAAGAAAGCGCTCTGTTTTATGAGAGTCATGGCCGTCAAGTAATAAGAGGCGAGTATCATCTGGTGCCATATGCTCTGCAGATAGTTGGATAAAATGCATAAGGTATTGGATTGCAATGTCGTCGTTTGAATACCCGCTCTCATTTACAATAATGAGAGCATTTGGCTCAAGGTCATCATTGTACCATGAATCCATATGAAGTTTGCCAGGGATAATGATAGCTTCTGCAAGTGCAGCACCACTTGCATTTACTGCCTCAATTACAGTAACAGAGAGCCGATTCTCAGGATTATCAACAGTCCACTGCTTTACACCGATTGGTACAATAACAGCCGTAGACTTATAACACCCAATCATATAGCCTGTCTCATCAACATTCCATAAATTATATGGCTTAATGTTATGTTTTGTAATAAGGGCGTTATATGTGAGAAAGAATTCCTCAAACACCTCTTTCTTTTGTGCTTGCTTCCGATGTGTATTTAACGTCTTCGTGTGAATTGTATGAAATTCGGGGTGTGCTTTTAGAAAGCGTTGTAGCCACCGTTGTGATGGTATCGTACGATTAGGTCGTAAGTCTGCAACTGCCCGTAGTATCATAGATCGGTTGGCAGGGACCCGCGCTCAAGTTGGTCGTATATGAATTGACAGACCGCGGTCTCTTGCGATTGAGATAAGACTCGATTGCTACCTCCGTGGGGTAATTGAGGAGACGTAGTACTCGTAATACGACATCGGAGTGTCTCACGGTTGACATTGAATTTATTTGCAACCCAAGCAATTGTATATGTACTTGGTTGTTTTAAGAAGAACTGTTGGGCCTCATTAAGGCGAGCAATCATAGTAGGATCGTTATTTTGAGGCATTGTAGATACTACGTTATGAAGAATACTATTATTTTTCTATATATCAAAATAGCGGTGTACGCACATCTTGCTGTCGCACGCACAACTTGCTGTCGCCACCTACGAGCGAAGCGAGTGGGTGGAACACCGAGTACATGTACGTTATTATTTACTACTTAGTAAGTGAATAATACTTATTCATAACCTCCTATGTAGAGTTAAAACATAGTCTAAGCATTAAATCATCCTTAAACATCTCTTTCCCCTTTTCTAATTACTTAAGAAGGAACTCTATAGGTAACAATACCTGTTCTAGTGTAGCTTCCTAGCCTTCTATGAACAATGTTGCTTTATAAAAGAAATAAAGGAAGTCATAGATATGCTGTAGTACTATCTAGTTGCTCTTAAGCAATTCATCTTAAGAAAGCCAAAATACTCTTTATGACAGTATATATTAATAGCGCTCTTTATCTTATTGTTAAGAGCATAATGAAGCATTAAATACCATGGGTTCCACTAAGCCTTGTTATCCTAAACAAGCCTTTTGCCATCCCTATAATTGTTAGAACTAACCCTATTGCATAGGGTCACGGTAAGCAAAGAGTGTTTGTGGAAGCAAATGGCATAGCAAACTGAGTGCAACGAATATCAGTATGACACCTTATATGCGTCAAACCACCCTTGTACGACTTGTTTTGTAACTCCACTCATCCTTTGCACTTCAATTTGTCTTCCTAGTCATACTTGTAGATGTGGATGTCGTTTAATAAAGTGTGGAACCTAATCTTGTCCTAATGGAAGGTGTGGTATAGGTTGAAATTGTTCGTGAAGTTGATTGTGAAGTTGGTCGTGTAAATTAAAAACCTGGCAATGGTCTGCTCGAACCTCTTCTGCAATTTCTCGTAGTATTCGGTGGCTAGGTGCATATCCGCTACTTGTTAGCTCTCTAATCCACTTTAAGAGTGTTTCTTCTTGCGTTTTTGATAATAGTTGTTGTTTTTGACGCGCTTCTACGCGTGTGTGGCCTCCATTCATACGACGACGGATAGATTGTTCTGGGAGGTCAAGTGTCAAGTGCTTTGGCAGCTGCGTACACTGACTTATATTGTTTGGAATGAATAGCTAATATAGCTTGATCTATTGCAATATTACGCTCTTGAGCTTCTACGCTCTTTCGACGTACCATAATGGAGTTGGGTAGGTAAGATGGTAAGTTTGATGGGGTGGTTCTAACCACCCCACTACCGCCAGTACGCCACGACTTACGTTAAGGCAAACAAGCCTCATAAACCTCCTTATACCTAACATACTTCATATGCCTCTCAAAAACACCCTCATCCGCCACCCTCGTCCACCACCCTCGCCAACTGCAACGACCCCGCAATAAAGAAATCCGTATAACTCGGTCGCGCACCCAACACAAACGGCCCCTCCGCCTTATTCGTCCTCATCAGCTCACCCACCCTCATTCCCTCACAGACAGCCTTCCAGCTCTCCTCCTCCGCATCAAGCAATCCTCGAGCTTACGCCCTAGCGCCGCCTCGCGCGTGCGCCGGAAGTACTCCTGTGACCTGAGCGAGAGGATGTTGATCTCGCGCGGCACCACTGAGGCGCGGAACTTGGGCCGACGACAGAGCGTGCCTGTAACTCGATGGTGCCGTCTAGCGAGGAGGTTAGAGGGAGGGTGGGGTGGGGTATGTGCCTCGAGGAACTTGGCGATGGGGGTGGAGTCTATGATGTGCGTGTTGGTGGGTAGATGGTGGATGGCGGGGACATTGTGTTTTTCTCTGGTGGGGGATTCGCCGGATATGAGGCCGCTGGGTGCGTTAGAAGATATTTTTGGGTGTGGTGGGGGATTTGAGGGAGCGGGGGGCGGGATGATGAAGACAGCTGGGAGGAGGGTGGAGGTTGAGAACGAAAGACGAATCCGCACATCTGGTGCGAGACTGATAATCTTGCCGTACTGGTGATGTGCTCCCGTCTTCTGGCTAAAGAGGAGAATCAAGGAGTGTACCCTTCGCAGGAGAGAATGCGGGAAGCCCTCGCTGCCGCAATGAAGCTCTATGCGCAACCTCAAGCTTCATTGGGGGGGGGTGTGGATTACATCTCTATCGAAGCATGGAAGTCGAGGCATTCATTCCTGTTATATCGGCGATTAACCATAGAGCTGACAATTCGAGTGGGAGAATTAGATACGGCGAGTGAGATCCTGAGCGTGGCGTTGAGATTGGATGGGTTCGGCCGTTCCAGTGGCGCCAGTTTACAGTTTGTGCCTGGGATTTGCCACGTTCTACCCTTACTTGCTAAAGGTGGGAAGGAAAGCAACCCTTTTTGTATTGAGAAGCAAGATGCAGACACATTAGTTATGGATATCATCGGTGCGGTGGAATTGCGAGCGACGAAGGGCGGCAGTGGTCTTGCCCAGGGCGGCTGGAGAGTCACAGGAGCGATCGATAGTGCAGGATCATAACGACACTTGTCATGATTTACAAGGTCTTGGCCAATATCTATCAAAGGATGTTGTACTCGGTAGAACCCCATATGATTGCTGGTAGTTCCATATTGGGATTAGTCCGATTTGGAGTAGTTTGATCACGTGTGACATATAGAAATTGGGCGTTCGCTTTTCAACTGTCAACGACGACTTTGAGCAACGTCGGTATGAATCAACCACGGCGCTTAGCTTTGAGTAACCTCTCAAGAAGTCGTGCATCTTTCCACAAAGTCACTTGATTGTCAAAAATGCTCTATGTTTCAGGAGTTTGCTTGCTGTCTCACAATTTTGCTACACCCCTTACTTCCCTTACTTCAGAACGGCATAGCAAAATGTGTCTTCTATCGTAAGTTTTTCTTTGTTCATTGGTCACACGGTGTAGATAGGTGCATAAACCAGGATGACGAAAATGCAAACACTCTTTGGCCTGTTCGAACAGAGCCGTGTCTCCCAAGTTGGGAAGCCTCTTTGCTGGCACAGCCATCACAGAGTGCTGAGATCCTGTGGCTGCTATTCATCTCGTAACACTGATGATGTGTGGTTGCGAGTTGATGTGGATATAAAGAGAGCACTGACTGGTGTGCAAATTGTACATTACCTTGCTTGTGGGGGTGGAAGATGATATCGTCTCTTTTGAATTGCGTCGTACTGCATTATTTCCGTTGTGTATCCGAAGCTCCCACGCAACTCATCAATAAGCAACTTCTGGTTGCGTAGAAGGCTGCTTCAAATTTCAACCATCGAAGATCAAAATATGGGCTCTCGATCTTGAAGATCAAGGTGTGTTCCATATGTCTGTCTAGAAACCTCAGTTTATACTTGTGGAATTTCAGGTTTGATGTTGCTACAATATGCTTCGAGTACTATATATGTATATCATTCTCATCCTGAGGCCTGGCAGGCACCCATTGTCCCCTCAGAAATCAGGTGTCACCAAGCTGACAAGCACCAGACTACCTATATATATCAAATCCAGTCGTCTTCCTCCCAGATAGCGGCACAGTGGCGCAGTAGAAGTACCACTGTCAGGACAGTCTGGCCTGGGTTTGGAAAGGTTACGGATTCGACAAATAAGCGCCAAAAAGCAAAATCACAAAACATGATTTTCTCCCTCATCAGATATCCAGAATCGCAGGAATCTGACGAGTCTTTTTGCATTTTTTTAGTTCTCAAGAGCAGATGGGCCAGTCTTTGGCCCATTGGATTAATATTTCACATTTTAAGTAGTAAATTAATTCAATGGAATTTAATGAACTTGTAGATAACAACATACTCGAATATTTAATTCCCCTAACTGTCATCATCGAAGTAAGCGTTAGCGTCTATCGGCACCCCACTCTTCCCAATCTAATCCTTCAGATCCTAATATCGTCAGCTAATCGATTGCTATTTCATTAGTACATAAGTCCCTACAAATAATACCATGTGAAAGAGTAATTTAAGGAGTCTTTATGTATAATTTTTATTCATGGCGGAATTAATTTGAGGATATAACCGTTGTTTGGTGGGGTTATTGTTTACCCACATTGGGCGCGTCAGAGGCTTATCGCGGGCCATGATAGGCGCTAAATTTATGGAACTTTCAACTTCAACAGAATCGGGAAATCGTGTCGCTTTGTGTTAATCTTGCAACCCGTGCAGATTTCACGCAATAATCTACTCAAATATCACCAGAATACCCCATATTGAGTATCCGGGAAGTTTTCGACGTCCGCAACTTACAATAGACCATGTTACCTCCAACCAGAGTCCAGATCAAGAGGAAGGCCACTGAGGATCCTGTGGAGATTTTGCGTAAGCTCGTACAAACAGAACCCAGTTGAAGGTTTCTGCTGACACTTGTATATATAGGTGTGCACGATGAACTTGCCAGGGGTCGAAATGCTGGCCAGTTTATATTCAAGCGACAACGAATCGTCCAGGGCTCGCGACCAAATGCATTCACCGTCGCGGACTCTGCGGGATATACATCTGCTCTAGAAAATGGCCCGAGAGCACCACAGGTTAAAACCAGCCAACCAGGGGATGAATTTAGAGACCAGCCGGGCCGAAACCTGAGCAACACCCAGCCTGCTGTCCCTCCGGAGACGCGGCACGTTACAATGAGACAGGATGAAGTTGGAGCTGTGCCACCCGCGAATAATAGAGGGGCTCCGGACGTAGCACGATTACCTCGAGTAATTGCGGAACCCCGTCGCTTCCACCTGTCTCGAAAACTGGTGCATGGGGCGGGAAATAATAATGTTGAGCGTGCAAATGCAAGGAGAACACCTGGCAAGACAAATATCGCGGTGTTTCGCGAACGCAAGGTTATTCCTGCAGCGGAGACCGGACCGCCTACGGAAACGAAACCCCCCGCCCCTTTGGATGTATCTAGGACGGAACCGCAAAACCGCATGACGAGCCAGGAGCCTGTCAAAGAGATCGGTAAAAAACCGAGTGTCTCCCTTCTGCGCCTTACGCCTGTCAATGCTGTCAAGCCCCGTAGAAACTCACCCGCTCCTCTCCGAGGTGCAAGGCTGCCATCTGGGGATATAATACCGTGGGATGCTAGTACGGAGAGACTTAATATGGAAATGCAAGCCTACACGCTTAGAGAAATCAGAAAGAACCTTGCCGACAGCAATGAGCCTCAAGTTACGGTACCGCTAAAGCCAGAACCCGAGGCCCCCAAAAGTCCTGCAAGTAGATTCAAGCCGAGGGCAGGTGCAGGTTTGCGCTACCACGAGCGCCATCCCGACGCTGTGACTGCTCAGGGAACTGAAGCGGACAGCGACATGCAAGCTATGGATGTGGACGACGATGACTCAAATTATATCATCGAGACGTACATACGCATGCCAGTGGAACAGGCTCTCCTCGAATCAAATGAGACGAGCATTGGCTTGCTGGTTTTGGATTCCCAGCCGGACATTGATCAGTTTTACAACGGCGACTCGGACAGGGATAGTGATACGTACGACGAGGAAGAAGACGAAAATGGTTAGCTTAGGACCCCCCGCACTCCACCTCACCTGACACAGGTATGCAAGGATTGAGCTAATGATCAATAGCGGAGAATCACCCTTCAACGGATTATCCGGATGAGGAGGTACAGTCTGATGATGAGTACGGCATTAATCCGTACCAGTATCGAAATAGAAACACCTCGGATAATGAAGAATACGACGAGGATGATGCTACGTTTAGCGATGATGAGCGTGAAGCCAAGAAAGAGCCATGGTCCCGCCGCCCGTGGATGCAGGCCTACTCTGGCAAGAGTGACAGGAACGACGAGGAAAGGGAATCGTACAGATCACTGTATAAATGATGTGCTTAAGACCACACTCGAGTTTGTCTAGATTTAGATCTTGAATTAATTTCCGGGTGGGGCTTTGCACACTATATAAGCCTGACCTAAAACGCGCCGGTGCTGGACAAAATCGATAGCATAGTGATAGATAGCCAACGCGCCTTTTTCGTTCCCGAAAACTCCAAATGATACATTTTTGGTGGGTATTACAAGGAAAAACAACCAGCAAAAAGACGACGAGACGCCAATTGGTTCATATACAGACGGCATCTCGACGGACGAAGTGGGAATCTTAGTTGTCGGAGTCTTCCTGATTTGGGTATTTGGGGTCATAAATCGTGTCTGGCGTCATATTAAGAGTCTTGCCAACAGTTGGGAACGCTTGTGCAGGCGTCGTTGCTGCTCAAGCAGGAAGCTTCCTTGCTAAATTGCTTCAGAAGGTTGTTGTTCGGACTCGAATAATAGCTCCTGGAAGTTCCCCTCTGCCCTGTCTTGCGCGATTGGCAACTGTGATAGGTTAGTATGTAAACAACACAGGCTTCGGGCATAGAATGACTTACTGATATCCCTGGCCTCTGCTTTGTCCTTCTCGTCCGTCCATGAGTACTTCAGTACCTCCTCGGGACACCTGGTTACCAGCTTGATATAATCATCAAGAATGGCTTTGTAGGGATGGTTTATCCTCTCCCGCACCTTGATGTTCACCATCTCATATTCGTCATTATGGTCGCGAACGAAATTACCCTCGTCATCGATTTTGGGGAACATTTGCGCCCGGTAGTAGCGGCATTCCAGGGCTCCCTTTCCGCGCTTTGGGCTGTTGCTGCTGCTGCTGCTCTGATGGAAGACAACTCGGGGGAACTGTCTCTTGAAGGGCTGGACGATGGCTTGCCATTGCACTTTCTTGTCCTCTCGGTAGTACTGAATGAAATGTACTTGCTCAAGGCTGTAAGGAACATTTGAATGTGAAGGTGTTGTTGGAGAACTTGAGCGTGAGCTCTGTGACATGCTGCTACAGATGCTGGAGCTGCTATAGCCGCTTGGGCTGCTGTGATGCTTGTATTTATTCCCATGCTGATGGAACTGGTGGTAGTCTTGATAGTCTTGATAATAAGAAGAAGTGGACTGAGGATTGGGGCCCGGGCTCGTCAACAGGTCCAGAGAACCCAGTGGTGGTAGTACCACTTCTGAAGTTCTCTGAGGAGGGCGAGGAAGCGTTGTAGTTGTTGTTGATATCCGTATTGGTAGGAGAGGTGCGTTGCCACCGGGAACTCCGACGGTGGAGTTGAAACACCCTTCTGCCGCTCTCCTGCTACATGGTAGGGACGTAGCACATGGATCAGTCTGAGGAGAGTGAGATGCGGCGTCTTCGGTTGGATTCAGTAGAAGATTTATTGAAAACCGCGGGCTTTTTTCCTGGCCATTGAGAGGCAGCGAGTTGAAATACATCATGACGAATGTTGATGATGAAGTGGGCTGGCTGAGAGTAGTCTTAACGTGAAGTGATAATTGGCAACGATAATTCATTCTCATGGCCAGGCAAGCAAGTGGGGACAATATATAAAGAGTTCGAATCACAGGGGCATTGTCACGGGAAGAACTGCACGGGATATTTATGCAAAGGGCAGTCGATGACAGGAATTTGGAACTTGTGGCACATGCGCGATGGGTCTGTTGGCCTCGACAGCTGGCTCAGCAAGGTACATTGCTGAACAGCAGCAGTGAAATCAAAGTCTCGATTGATGGCCGAATGTCACGTCTTGCCTTGACACGGTACAGGGAAGATGGAAGATACTCCAGACGATACATTGTGGATATGCGTTAGGCTGCCAAGAAGAAAGTATGAACGCGGCATAGTGGGTCTGGAGTAGAAACGGGAATGAAGGGTGAAGCGCGCCGACGACATAAGTGCCATCTCTCATTTCTGTCACACTTTGCACTCAACCTTGACCAAAGTAAACCAAAGTAAACCAAGGTACCGCTCTAATCAAGCCGCCTAGTGGACACGGCGCTATTAGATCGAAGCAAGTGGGGCTGAAGAATAGGTGGCGCCAACCCTCCCCTGTCAGGACTGCGATGGAGATGATCTCTCAAGGGTCTTTGCGGATATCAGTCTCCGGGGGTGATCCGTCACCAAGCGCTAGACACACCACGCCGTCCCCACCCCCCATGAAAGAAAGACCTAGTACCGATCGCCGCATTGCCGCAACTGAGTGGGCCACCCGATAAGAGACGCCAGAACGGAACAGCACGGATTACCCGCAGCGCCTACCACCAACTGGGCTTTTATCTCCTGCGTCTCTGCGTCGCACACACGTTGCGCTGCGGCAGGCGACAGCATGAGTAGGAAACGCGTGCTCTGCGACGCCTTGTTCGTGGGCGTCAGGTCACACGGGCGAACGTGTTAGTGCAAGAGCGCGCGCGGGGGCGGATCTGGTGTGCCCCGAATGGGGGAGGGGATCTTGCAGCGCTGCCTGTCTGACTGGTTATTTGTCCTAACGACTGGCGTGGGGGGGTCGAGAGGCTCGGGGAAATCTTAGATGTGAGGTTGCACAACGCTGGAGGTATGCCGGTGGCTGCTGCTGTCTGTTGTTGTTGCTGTATGATGGCGGTGTGTGGAGGGGTGTCTGTATGGACTGGTGGGGGACGTTCTGCAGCACTTGGGTTAGGGGAGCGGGTGCAGCGGTGCAGCGATGCGGCGGTGCGGCGGTGCGGCGGTGCGGCGGCGCGACGGTCTTACCCAGAGAAGCGCCAAAGGGGAAGATTTGAATTAGGAGGGTATGCCGTCTTTTTGCTTATTGGGGATCCCTTGCTCCCTTGCGGTCGAAGTAGATGTACAGTACAGAGAGGGATAGGGGACGGCTGTGCGTTTAGCCGTGTGACATAGGCTTGAGTGACAAATCCACAATCCACTGGCCTGGCTGGGGAGAGGGATCTGACATGGTCGTGATATTGGTAGCGTACGAGTGATGTAGTTTTCTCTAAAGATAGTAGGAGAATTACTCAATGTAGAAGATTACTTGGTGCCTTGGTGCTTGATGCTTGATGCTTGATGCTTGATGCTTGATGCTTGATGCTTGATGCTTGATGCTTGATTCTTGATGCTTGATTCTTGATTCTTGGACAACCGTCGATCGATCGTCCAAGGGGTCCAAATACACGGCATCTTCGTTGGCCGCATCAAGTGACCATTCTTTGAGGGATTGTTTTCACATACTCTAACCCCCGCGGCCTATTCTTCGGACCCCAATGTCACAGCTCGTCTGGACAACGCATTGAAATTAATGTACTCGACATTCCTCCCAACTTCCCACAACTCCGCGAATCTGGATATAGCGCCGGCAGAGGCCCGAATATGGCACAAGCAGGGCGTTGAAAACGGTGGATAGAGATGGCCTTTCCGGGATCATGGAAGATTCTCAAGTGACACTCCGGGGAGACGAGGTGCTCATTTCGGTGTCCCGCAACGAAACTGGAGGCAAGTGGCAGCCACTGCACCGCACTTCTGTCATGTATCAATCAATACCCCTTACGCAACGACAGGCTCTCTCACCCCACCCTCCTTGGTCCCAGAACCACGGTTCGACCATCGGCGTACAAAGTCACTGCACTGTCGTATCCTCCTTCTGCAGCCTAGATACATACCACAGGCAACTGATCGAGAAACGGAGATTGGCGGATTCGGCGTAGACTCGGCCGCGCCGTCGTGGTCGGCCGCGCAGTGGGGAGGGTGTGTGTTCTGCACCAACCACACTGTGCATAGTCATGGAGGCTTGGAATATGTGGAATGTCCGAGTTGGCGGCATGCCGTGATGATGTGTATTGGTCTCATCAACATATAGCCCCCAAAGTGCCCCTCAAAGTGGGAATGCAACGGCCCCTAAACTCGAAGTCCAACAGCGTGGGTAGACTATAGCTCTACTAGATGTATATGTACGAGAAACCCCAATGAGATACAAACAATCCATACCATGATCTGTATACTTCATACACCGGTGGTCGAACTCCATCCCTGCATTAGTGTAACCTTCCCCCATCAAATAAGCGGCCCGCCCAAACTGTCGGGTCCGCACCCCGCACCACGGGGATTGGCGGCCGGCGACACGGGGACCGGCACACCCCAATGCGCCGAGACTGACTGAACTGCCCGCTCCTTCGCTGTGAGAAAGTTTCCCTGCGCAGCCACAGAACGGTCGGACGTATATCCCAATCCGGATGTGATAGTTGGCCCAACCCAAGCCGTGTGGCGTTGTGACTGCCGGGGCAGACAGGCCACATAGCCACACAGGATCCAAAGGATGGGAACCCCCCCCTTATGGAGGATGTGGCCGTTTCCTACCTACCTGGTCTAGATTTGTTGATGGGGGGGGGGAATTGGGCTAGGGACGGTGGGCTAGGGACCAGTGGGCTAGGGACCAGTGGGCTAGGGACCAGCGGGCTAGGAACCAGTGGGCTAGAATTCGGATGGGAAATCAGAGAAGGCGAGGGGAATAGGGGCTACTAGCAGCGTGCTTTCTAGGTCAGATGGCTGCGGCTACTGCTATCTAAGGCTTGTCTAGTCATTAACTAGACTAGGCCAAGGTCCTGTTACTAACGACATAATACCGTCTAGCATAACTATCACTTGATAGTTAATACCATAAAGGCGCTTATGGCCAGAAAAGACAAGACGCTGTTCCTCTTGTCCTGTTAGTCGTTAATAGGGGTGAAAGGTTCCATTAACGAAGCCCTAGATCCCCCCTACTCTCCCTATCTCTTTAAAAGCTGTTAAGAAGGCTTCTATACACTTGTACGTAAGCTGCAGATGCCACTTGAGTATTCTAGAAAATGTCTTATAAAGGAAGAGTATTGTATCCATAAAGACAATACTCCAACTAAGATCTTAACCGACCAAAGAGCCTCTTAAGAGTCAACCATCTCCTAGGAAAGGCAAGCTGTGCACAAAGGATATACAAGGCTAACTTAGGGATTAGCTGAACGCCTCTTGACCAAGAGACATTATAGAGGTGGAGGAGAGGGGTAAGCTGGCACATATCATAGTGGGAGAACTACAAAGCTTCTAGAGCTTAAGTGTTAGTTAAGCTTTCAAGATGCCCTTAGCTGTCATAGCGCATCTGTTGTGTAATGGTGGGTGCACCAGATGTGAGAATCTAGCCACCCAAGGAAGGGATGATTTTACTAAGACAACACACTGTCTTAGGAAAAAGAGCCAAAGGGTCATAGCTTAGACTATTCCACAATGCAGCAATCAGGTGTATGATATAGTGGAGTGGTTTAGACAAGTTGTTGAGTCTGAGAACTCAGGGATAAGTCAGAGGTTAGCACCTCACTGACTTTTCAAAAACAGAGAATAACAAGATCAATGCTTGGAAGCTTGGAAAAGACGTAGAAGTATGTGCTAGTCGATTTACTGTATTGTCTGCTTGTCCTTTCTTAAGGAAAGGGCAATCCTATTTATGCTAAAGGAGTGTAGTTCTCTCATTTTCCAAGACTTTCCATGACTAACCAGGCTTGGTAACTGTAGTTGTAAGGATGCCAAAGCCCTCAGTGATGGAAAGCATCGGAGTCGGGCAGGTTACGGTCACATGGGGAGAGTTAGGGCAGGTTAGCCGAGTCGGACCCGTTTCAGGTACTTAAGGGGATTGACCCAACGGGGTTCCTCATCATCTTGTTTGTATCCTTCGTAGTAGACCTATAGGATAGCATCCGTTTAGCTTCCGACTCGCACTCTCATATGCTATTACTGTGAGCTGGGTGCCCTGTGTCCTTACATTATACAAAAAAGATCATGCCTGCCGGGGACGGCCGTACTTAAATAATATCCCACACCGGAACGACTCAGGAGAACTACTGTTACATCTGTTACGATATCAAGTGCGCCTTGCAGCTCGAGTGGGGGTTCAGGGGTGTGGGGAGCTTTCCGGGGTTGGAGCGAAGTTTTCAGTTGTGGAGTGAATTCTCAGAACTAGTCTCGCTAAAGAGAATTCACTCCACAACAACATAGCTGTATATAGATTGAGCCACTGCTCGAGTGCTCCTCTTCTCTTTCCTTTCTTCTCTAGATTGAGTTTAATTCATAATACCCAACTGGCGCCCTATGCCTTGGTGAACCGTGACAACATCATCGACTGCGACTCGGTGACGTTTCGGAGGAGAGACCTGACGACTTCAAATAGCCGTGATTCCAGAGATCTTATGGACAGCCAGTGGATCAGGGTTTGATTCTTCAGAACAAGCTGGTAAAGTCGCCGACACGTTGGCGCCAAATAGGATATGAGATCCTTAAGAACCCCCTCCTAGCACAGAGGAAATTGTGGACAAGAGCGTTAATAGCTACGAGCTACCGGAAGTCAAGCTCTTTCGTATCGGTACCGATACACACCTGAGGCAATATGTCGAAAAAGCCGACATCAAACATACCCCAAGACAATGACGGTCAACTGCCCAGAATGACTACCAGACAAACCACCACTGCAGCTACGACCGCTGTGCCATCCGAAGACATCCCGAGTCGAATGGCCCACCTCGAAGCACAGATACAGGAGGTCAAGGATCTACTAGTCATCCTTACGGCAGCCCAGACTAGAATCCCGTCCACAGTGCCGGTGGACGCCACCATACCCACAGTCGAAGCTACGGAGCAATGAACGCCTCGCACACGAAACACCCCCGAGACAGTTCAATTGTGGCCTCTTCAGAACACTCGTTCTCCATCGATTCCAGGGTCATCACGAATGCACACCGAGGACCCTCCGAATCGCTATAAGAAATCAACCATCTCTGAGAAAATCCTTCCTCTCAGCGATGGGGTAGAACATAC